TTCAACAATAAAAAATTAAAATTTTTAAAAAATAAAAATACATTAGTAAATTATCCAAAAAAACCCTACAGTAATACTGAATTTTTGTTTGTATTTTAAGCAATGAACATCACTTTTTGTGACATTCTGTACTAGAAATAAGATGATGTTTTTTGGGATTAAGAAACGGACTATCACTAGGAATAAGCAATATCAACTGAAATGTCAAAAATTTATTCTTCCTTCAGAATTACAGCCACAATCAGAGCTAGTCTTTCCTGGTTTCACTCCACTCAGAAGTGCATTGTACTTTGTCTTTGAGGAAGTGCTACAGAAAGTTTACACTTACTTGGATTTTTAAAACTCAGAGGTTCTGGGGCAAACATTGTTGAAAAGAAAACATAAAACAGTCTTAACACTATTGTTTCAGCTGAGTTCACTACCTCACATTCCACTTTTAAGACAGAAGTATCTGAAAAAGTCTTACGCTTGTTTTATTTGGCCTTCCTCCCCACTTGTCACTTATAAAGAAGACTCCAAGTCCAAATTTCTTAGAAATACTAAAAATGGAATCAAACAGAAAACAAAAACATCTGCCTTGGAAATTAAAACTGGTAATATTATAATGTCCTTTGGGTGTTTTTAGAGTGTAAATCAGCTCTAAAGAGTGTAGCATGTGAAAGCAGAGCCCAAATGCTTCCAGCAGGCAGTTTAGGGACTAAGCAAGCTGTGAATGCGTTTATTTCTTCTGACATAAACAGATGCTCAAGGACCAATTGTTAGACTTCGTTTCAGGGGTGATGATGAGAACCTCAGTCCCATTTGCACAGTAGGCAACTAAACACTGGTGCCTGCTGAAATAACATACAATAATGTTAAAGAACGGGCTGGATAAACATTCAGCAAAGGGTGCAAGACCAAAACAGGGCCCTGGGGGGGAAAAATCTTGTTCTTTCACAGGTTTCTTGACTCGTAAGAATCAATTGAATTCTTTTTCTCTGGGATAAATTCCTGCCAAGGTTTAAAATGCGTATCATTTTTCCAGAGAAAAATGTACAAAACAAATGGGATCAAGGCTAGTAGCCTGTTGATCACTGCATCCTTCGAATTGCCATTGGCGATCCTGTTGGATGCGGAGTTAGTGGGTCTGGTTACTTCGCTCCTCTGTGAAAGTAATTGTGTTTTTACAAACGAGGGTGGGCAGGGGGGTGTCTGTGCTTAAAAATTACCAAGTGTTGCATTAGATTAGAGTTTCTGAAGCTTAAAACTCTTTCTTTAGAAAGAACATCTATTAATACGTTTCTGGTTATGAGGACTAGGGTCTAAAGGACAAACCAAAGGAGCGACACGGAAAGGGGATTTAGGGCTAACAGGTGTCCCCAGGCGTCCTGGCTAAAAGAGTCCGCAGCTGAAGTGTCGTACGTGGGCGTTGCTGTGTTTTCCTCATGCCTGCTCTGTGGAGAGGCGTCTGGGACGCTCGTAGTTCTCGCTATGGCCATAAGAAGTGACCT